AGAGAAGAAAAAACTACTTTCGTGACCACGAAATGACATGTGAAGAACTAATAGTTCATTGTTTTTCTTTGACTAGATCGTAAAGTAATTGAAGCATGTTACAATCCAGTTTATTTCAATGAGGTGTCACCTCCATAAGTCTTCTTCACATGACGAAAAGTGTCAACTACGCATCTTCAGAAACCGATAGAAAAGGGAACTCAAAACTTATTTCTGGGCTAGCAGCTGTTCGGGCGCAGATCGCAGACCAATCCTGTGGTCGTCGTTTAGAATGTGTATAAATGGACGGTGGTCAGCTGCATCAACAACGTGATTCTGCCCATCATGTCGTTTATCAGTGGGTGGCTATCAGTGAGTGAAATAAGATGTCGATGACTAACTAACGATTTTCGATCAACAACTAAATATGATGACCATGCGATGTCACTACCTCAACGCGCAGACCTCCGTGGCTCCACGGTCGCGAATTTGAATTTATGTCCTTGGCAGATGATCGTCTGCATCAGTTTTTGGACTTCATCCCTCATGTTGCCTATCATTTGTAAGCCCTCTGCGCGCACAAACCAGCAAATATCAATGAATTCTCTTTTGTTGTATGATTCAGTCATGGTGACTGTGTGAGAACGTCAGCAGTCATTTAGTCCAGAGTCGAAGTGTATATAATTGCAAGTGGGCACCTGTTTCAACTGCCAAACTTGATCCCTCACGCTTTGCGTCACTGAAATGCTCTTTGTGAATGCAGTAAAAAACTTTCAGCATAAGTATCAGTTTCAAAGCTGGCATCTTGATGACGATGATGATGATAAACTGGCGAGACATTTGGTAAGGTGCGGAAAACAGGGTACAAGTGGAACTCAAAAAAATTCAAACTGTTTTTGTGCAATCGATGATTAGCCAAGACGATGATATACTGATAATAATATACTAGCGTGAATTTGTCAGAGAGGATTGCTAATATGAGTCTTTATACTGCGTCATGTGGAATATGACACCATAGCGAAGAATCAGCTATCATGTGAAACAAGACGAACCGCAGGCCTATGAATCGCTCTCATCAGACAGCACGGCCATAGCTCTCGCTCATTCTGCCTTGGCCACCAGAGAGCCTCGTTGTTCGCAAACAACGACTCGTTACCTCTTTTCCGGCTGGTTACATCACAGCGCTGCAGAGGAACTTCCTCATTAAAGAGAACTAACAGTTATGGCCAATTTTCCATTTTTGGAAATCGAACGCGACTCCTATGTTTTGAGTCACTTAGATACCATAACATCATAACTGAAGCCAATAAATTTCCTCGACATTCGATCATTTTATCTTTCTCTGATCCTCTGTCGAAGTATGGTCATTTCGGCTGCTTTCAGCCTTTGACAGTAGGCTTTATTCCGCGCCTTTCTTGGGGTCATAAAAATGCACATTCAGAATGTCAGTTTTATGAATGCCTGAGTTCGTCTCATGGATTAGTCGCTTAGCGGTTTATTTTAGGTTTTGACGTAATGGCTCCGAAACGCCCCGATTCAAGACTTCTTGCATCATGCTGCTATTTGCAGCAGACAAACAAATACACAGAGAGTTGGAAATTCCAGTTTCTTTCTTGCCGTACACCTTCCATATGGTTCTTTCCACGTTATTCCTTAGATCTGGTTTCGAACCTGTTTTCATAAGAGTGCTAAAATCACAGCGATTACGCCCCAGCTATGACAAATACACACATTAGCACAGGAAGTAGATTTTTCCTTTTTGCAGGGGACTATGCTTTGTACTTCTCAGTTATCAAGTGGGTCCAGGCAGATTGTGATACATATGAGATACTCCATCGGATTGTATACTCCTGCGTCTCATTC